CACTCTTCTTAACATGCATCAGACATCAGCATCGTCCAGACAGTTGAGTTCTTTATTTTTTTAGCCCCCTTTAGTCAGTTTTTTTGTTTTGGGCCAAAAGAAGTCATTAAAAATGCACAGAATGTCAATGTAAAACAATGATAATACGCAATTATGCATCTCGACTTGGAGTCTTCTGCCAGATAAATAACACGGTCCAAGGAAGCTAATGACAGTTGTGCGAAAATATAAAAAATGATGATGATGATGCCATGGATCCGAGGAAGAAGGCACAGCATATACAATGTACATGTATATGAATTATATGTTCATTTTTTTCAAAAATAAATCATATAACCAAAAAAAACGACAGAGCTTTCTACAAAATTACCCCAGTGTCTGGCGAGGAGTTTATTATTTTTTAAGATTTTAATAAATGTCATTTATTAAGTATATTTAGTAAAATTTTAAAGAAATTTACAAAATAAATAAACATTAGGGATGGGGACGGTTTTAAAAAGGACTTCTTATCCCAAATTATAGAAAAATAAGAATCGAAATTTGTTTGTATTTATCTTTAAGGTTATAAGCTTTAAGATTGAAAAAAAGGAAAAACTATAACCCATAAAGGGGCTTCCATAGAAAAAATAGTTTCTAAGCTTCTAAAAGTTTCTATGAAGCGTATTATCTGAATACGTATCTGAATCTCAAACCATAATTGTACCATCTATTATACCTATCAAGTTTCTAGGAATTCTACAAATCTACTACATCTACTCTATCTAATAAGTTATGAAAAACTCATTCAATTATTAAACCCAATTTGACAAATACCCATATCAGAATAGTACAATTTTGCTTCCACTATTCTATTAATATCAGAATTAGTGTATTCGAAATAAAGTAGCCTCTGACTTTCGTAGAATTCGGCACTCTTGACTTCCGCTTTAGCCCCAGAAGACTTCCCGGAATCCGCAACCGTATTGCTTTTCTGGATACCGACATGGGAATTTGAATAAATGGGGGCTGGGGGCCTGGGTTCAGACGAGTGGGGGCCATAAATTATCCAAGCAATATTGTGTCACATCCTTGAGCAGCCGACAAAGCAAAATAAATCAAATCAAATTTGAAAATAATACCCCGAATAAAGTAAAGCCAAAGCTAAGATTATCACATCCGCCTATGAATCAACTTTTATAAATATTTGGCTTCTTTTTTTTTTTTTAAGAACTAGGAAAACGATAAGTACTCTTGTCGGAACTGGCGCTACATATGCGGATATATAATATAGAAATATATATATAATTCGGGAAAGATCTTAATCAGCATCAATCAAATACAGAAAAAAGGTGTCCATTATAAGCTAGTTAACTGAAGATGGATGATTATTGAGCTCAAGATGTTGTCCGAAGAATTATGATAAGCATTTTGGAAATTGCCTTAATTATTTTCAACAAACGTATAATTAACATTTTATTTGAACCAGTATGTGTTCTATTTCTTTTTTTTGGTGAATAAATTTTGCATCTATTTGACATTCTAATGAAAAAGTTGTTCTCTCATCGCGGGCATACCTTCGTACGTATTTCAATCGGTTCAATTAAATCAATCACAATATCAAAAGAAGCCGCTTATTTGCTCTTCATGGGTCACTATTCCTATTCATTAAATTTTTGGTATTTATCATTTTAAACAAATGGTTATACAAGTTTCATAAGTTAGTCAATTTCCTTCATGAATCAAGCCATTGTTTGGTTTGATTTCTTATTCTTTCATTCTTAGAATGGCAATTATCAACAATATTTGCGTTAGTCACTTCAGAAATTCCCAAAAACATGCGATAAGTTTAGTTACAAGCTTAGTAAGCTTAAGAATAATCTGCAATTCGTGGACTTGTGGCTCTGGTTAACTAACCAGAGCTACATGGAATTTATGCAAACTTGATAATGTCGAGCTGACTAATATGTTTCTTTCTTTAAGTTTGAATAGGATATATTTTGCGTATTTAAATTAGATGTAGTTTTTTTTTAGGCCTAGATTTCTTGAGACACACAAAAAATAAAAACACCCATAGATTTGTAATAAGCAGTGACAAATGTGGAACCAGGTAATGAGGCCATCTGTATGTTAAAGTTATAGATGAATCGCGACAAATGGCATATCGGATATGGGATCAGATAGGGGTAGATCGCTGGTGTTGGCCTATAAGATCTCTGTTAACTTGTCCCAAAACATTTGGCCATAAATCAGGCGGGGCGACGATCATGTACAAAGCCATGTTGTACATGCCTCGACTTCGATTTCAGTTTCGGTTTCAACTCTTTTTTCGGTTTGCAGTTGTCAAAAATTCGCACATTCTGTTTCGGCTACGGAATTAAATGAATTTTTTTTTTCTTTTGATTTTGGTTTTGGCTTGGCCTTCTCGAAAAAAAAAATGCGTGAGTGCGTGTGGTGTGTTGTCATTGTCATGTAGCCGGCAATTAAAATTGATCCCCTTTTGCCTCGCAGAGACCTCCTCCGGCCCGTTTGGAATTGGCCAGGGCGGCTGTTAAATAATTTATGAAGTGCGTAAGGTTTCTGGCGCGCATTTCAAGCAGCTCTCTGGATTCGAGTTCGATTCGAGTTGCCAGCCAAAAGCCAAATATTTGCGCATCGCTCACGCACTTTTTTTGGGGCTCCGCCGCTGATATGGGTTTCGATATGGGTTTCAGCTTCTTTTCTTTGTATACTCTACGAAATCGAAGGCATATCGAATACAGCTTAAAAGCTTCTGGGGGTCCTATTATTATAAAAATAATAAATGGTCACATTTTAACAAACTATATGAGATTTGGTCACATTTAGTTTTCTAGATTTGTTCCTAAATATTTGTGAAGATTACTAGGTATTTGGCTTTTAATATAAGGTTACACATTATTTCACAAAAAATATATCTTTTTCTTAAACAAACCTTTGAAAAAACAAACCTAGAGCATTCTTATCTTCGTTAACACATCCTAGGCCTATACCTCAACATGTTTCTTAAACATTTTTTATTTGTAGTTGGGCTCATTTAGATTTGGTTTGGGTTTCTTAGCCGGACAAAATATTTGGCTATGCTGCCTATTTAATTTTGTTCGTTTTCTCATTAAACATTTTGGTTAAAATTTGCGATCTGCATGCAAATGTTACTGATTAGATGGGGGCGCCCAGTTGGCCATAAATCAATAAGCCATCCAGGCGAAAGACAACCACACGAGCCAAATGGCAGTGAAATCGAACACGGATAATGAAAACTGGAGCTGTAGTGGAGTTGGGTTTGGGGCGATATGGCCCAGAATTGGATGGGTTTCGGGTAGCATTACTTACCATTTTTTGTTGCCTGTTGCCGGTTTGAAGAGGTCTACAAGTTCCGGGTCTTCCTGATACATATATTCCCCGTCGGGTGAAGATCACGAATATATATGAAAGCTCGCTCAACCTTAGCACAAAGTCAGGCAGTTGTAAGAGGGTTGAAGGTTGTGGGAACACTGAAAGAAATATATATAAAATGGTGTTAGAAAAGAGATATCTTAATCGAATTAATTGCCATTTAAAAAATAACTACAATCTTCAAAAAATAATGGGATACTATAGTTTTCTTAATCTCTTTCTTTTAGATTTTTCCTCCGGTGCATCGAAGGGAAGTGTTAAGCTTGCCACAGACGCTACAGAGAGTGGCAAGTAGAGTCTGATTAATTATGAATTGAGTGTGTCTGAGTCCAGTTCGCCTGCACTTGCACTTGTTGCACTTTCTGCACTTGTTGCACTTGCGGCACTTTTCATATTTTTACGCTTGCGGAGTTCGCCTGCAGACGTCGTCATCGGATGGCTTCATATTGTCTGGCTGCCCCGCCGATCCAGGGGCGTCGCCGATTGGGGGAGGGGCCGGCAAAGAGAGGGAGTGGCCGCCAAGGGTAGGCATTCGAGCAACAACTTTTGTCACGCTAACCAGGCTGCAATAAAAAAAAAAATATTTTAACAGGAGTTGTTTATAAACAGGAGTGTGTGGAGGTTATTGGTAAAAACAAATATTAAAATAATGTAAAAAAATTAAAAAAAACTATTAAAATACAAAAACCAAAAAAATAAATAAGACTTTTTAGAATTTAACATTTAAAGGTTTATGTAGAAAAAAATTGGAGATTTTGAGAGAATCCGCCCCTGTCTTAACAGAGCACTTGCCACTTGCAACTTGCTGGGCCGCAATGATCATGCACTAATGCTCAGCGGCACGTCCCAGTATCTTTATCATATAAACGGTGCGATTTAAATTAATAATTAAAGCCCGCTTGTGGTTAAAAGTCTTTTGGCCTGGCCATCTGCCGCTGTTACAGGTTGCACGTTGCAAGTAGTACCAACAGGTTGCAGGTGGATGGATGCCAATGGATTAGAGTGCCCACCCTTTTGGCCATAAATCAACAGGGACATTGGGCTTGTCCCGGACTCCAGACACTGGACGACTCTGAAGTCCCAACAAGTCCCAAGTCGGAGTGCTCAGCCAAATGAAAAGAAGTTGCCAGCGCCCCTTGGAATCCATTATCCAATCTAAGTGGATATGTGTTGTATTATCCACTACACACTATCCACTTTCCACAGATACATGCAGACAGCGCTGGCCAGCTGTAAAAATACTAATTGACTTACTAAATAAATAGGGAAAGAGCTCATAAATAATTATTTGAATATTTGTAATGGTCTTGTAGAAAATTAAATTAATAAAAGAGTGTCGGCGAAACAATTTAAATAAACATAAAATATGTTTTTAATTTATGTTTAGTTTTTTTTTGGAGAAAAACAGAAAAAAAAAAATATAATAAATATAAAAATTTAGAGTATTTAAAAAATGTTTGCTTTTTAAATTTAAGATTTTTGGACGTAAAGCCCTTGATATAATTATTGCATTCTTAATAATTGAATCCTAAAATTCTAATTCTAAATACATCCTTCATAAACTAACCTCTAAAGAAAAGATTAAAATAAAGAAAACCTTAAAAAAAACGCGCTTTTAAAATATTTTATTATTTAAAAACTGTGCAACTATTTGGGCGACAGGGTCATCGTCATCAGGACAATGAACATGGAGTGGGCCAGGAGATTGAAGTCGGAGCCGAGGCCCCCCCAGTAGTTGTCAAGGACGAGGGAGCCGTAACGGGCCGCGAAGGCGATGGCCGCCATGCCGCCGTACATGTTGCTCGACTGGTTGACGCCCAGGAAGAGCATGGACACGACATTGCCCAGCAGGGTCAGCTCCTTGAGTGTCTCGGTGGAGGTGTCCTCGTTGTCGCCCATTTTGGCCATCAGATCGTAGACCAGAGGGACCACGAAACATCCATGAGCCAGCGCCAGGCTCGGATTGGTCGATCTCAGATACAATTCGATATTGGTCAGCGGAAGCGGAACGATCTCCATAATACCGGATGTGATTAATCGCAAACGCTTGCACTCGTCATCGTTGTTGCTGGCGGCCCGAGCCACGCCCAGCAGACCGTGGACCAGGCTGAGGGCGGCGGCGGCATAGCCATAAGGTGTTTCCGAAGGACGAAGGGTGTACAAGGCATAGCCGGAGCTCACCACCAGCAGACTATTGAGTAGGGCGTCCATCAGAAGCATATTTCACTGTGACTAAGCTGGGGCAACTCCTCCGTCTCCTTTTCCTCATCCACTCCCTAAATCCTTTTATTCCGGTTTTTTCAAACTCGAATTCTAATACATCCTTTCCGTATGTTGTTGTATTAATATTTTTTTGGCTTTTTTCTAATCGGTAATTGATGTATTGAACTATTTAATTTTAGCGTAAGCTGGTTGGATGGCGAGCACGGAAAATTTTGTTTTAGTTAGAAAGTTTTAGCCCCACCTCCTTGCCAGTTGTGACTGACAGCTGGTTCAAGGATGGAATGAAAATGCGTTTTGAAAGTTAAAAAAAAAAATCATTCTAAATAAAAAAAAAGGTATACAGATCTAAAAAACAAAATATGATTACAGTTTTAAACAGTATTATTATTCTTATTCGTAATATTAGTATTATTCTTAAGCAGTGGCGGATTTAAGGAAAAAGGCCCAGTGGGCAAAATTTTTTCAGGGTACATTGAAGGGTATTTTGAAGGGTACAGCCCAGAAAATTTGACAAAAAATCTTAAAAATATTTTGTTACCAGATTTTGATGCAGATTTATGGAGAATCGATCCACAAATCGTTTAAGGTGTTCCGCTCAAGAATCGGATGAATATTTCCTAAGATATGACCTTCGCAGTGGGTCATATGGTGCTTCCCATGCATTTTGACCATTTTGAAGGGGACAGCCCAGAAAATTTGACAAAAAATCTTAAAAATATTTTGTTCCCAGATTTTGATGCAGATTTGTGGAGAATCGATCCACAAATCGTTTAAGGTATTCCGCTCAAGAATCGGATGAATATTTCCTAAGATATGGCCTTCACAGTGGGTCATATGGGGCTCCCCATGCAGTTTCCACATTTTGAAGGGGACAGCCCAGAAAATTTGACAAAAAATCTTAAAAATATTTTGTTCCCAGATTTTGATGCAGATTTGTGGAGAATTGATCCACAAATCGTTTAAGGTATTCCTTTCAAGAATCGAATGAATATTTCCTAAGATATGGCCTTCGCAGTGGGTCATATGGTGCTTCCCATGCATTTTGACCATTTTGAAGGGGACAGCCCAGAAAATTTGACAAAAAATCTTAAAAATATTTTGTTCCCAGATTTTGATGCAGATTTGTGGAGAATCGATCCACAAATCGTTTAAGGTATTCCGCTCAAGAATCGGATGAATATTTCCTAAGATATGGCCTTCACAGTGGGTCATATGGGGCTCCCCATGCAGTTTCCACATTTTGAAGGGGACAGCCCAGAAAATTTGACAAAAAATCTTAAAAATATTTTGTTCCCAGATTTTGATGCAGATTTGTGGAGAATTGATCCACAAATCGTTTAAGGTATTCCTTTCAAGAATCGAATGAATATTTCCTAAGATATGGCCTTCGCAGTGGGTCATATGGTGCTTCCCATGCATTTTGACCATTTTGAAGGGGACAGCCCAGAAAATTTGACAAAAAATCTTAAAAATATTTTGTTCCCAGATTTTGATGCAGATTTGTGGAGAATTGATCCACAAATCGTTTAAGGTATTCCTTTCAAGAATCGGATGAATATTTCCTAAGATATGGCTTTCGCAGTGGATTATATGGGGCTCCCCATGCATTCTGCACATTTTGAAGGGGACAGCCCAGAAAATTTGACAAAAAATCTTTAAAACATTTTGTTCCCAGATTTTGATGCAGATTTATGGAGAATCGATCCACAAATCGTTTAAGGCATTCCTTTCAAGAATCGGATGAATATTTCCTAAGATATGGCCTTCGCAGTGGGTCATATGGTGCTTCCCATGCATTTTGACCATTTTGAAGGGGACAGCCCAGAAAATTTGACAAAAAATCTTAAAAATATTTTGTTCCCAGATTTTGATGCAGATTTGTGGAGAATTGATCCACAAATCGTTTAAGGTATTCCTTTCAAGAATCGGATGAATATTTCCTAAGATATGGCTTTCGAAGTGGATTATATGGGGCTTCCCATGCATTTTGACCATTTTGAAGGGGACAGCCCAGAAAATTTGACAAAAAATCTTAAAAATATTTTGTTCCCAGATTTTGATGCAGATTTGTGGAGAATCGATCCACAAATCGTTTAAGGTATACCGCTCAAGAATCGGATGAATATTTCCTAAGATATGGCCTTCGCAGTGGGTCATATGGGGCTCCCTATGCATTTTGCACATTTTGAAGGGGACAGCCCAGAAAATTTGACAAAATATCTTAAAAATATTTTGTTCCCAGATTTTGATGCAGATTTATGAAGAATCGATCCACAAATCGTTTAAGGTATTCCGTTCAAGAATCGGATGAATATTTCCTAAGATATGGCCTTCGCAGTGGGTCATATGGGGCTCCCCATGCAGTTTCCACATTTTGAAGGGGACAGCCCAGAAAATTTGACAAAAAATCTTTAAAATATTTTGTTCCCAGATTTTGATGCAGATTTATGAAGAATCGATTCACAAATCGTTTAAGGTATTCCGTTCAAGAATCGGATGAATATTTCCTAAGATATGGCCTTCGCAGTGGGTCATATGGGGCTCCCTATGCATTTTGCACATTTTGAAGGGGACAGCCCAGAAAATTTGACAAAATATCTTAAAAATATTTTGTTCCCAGATTTTGATGCAGATTTATGAAGAATCGATCCACAAATCGTTTAAGGTATTCCGTTCAAGAATCGGATGAATATTTCCTAAGATATGGCCTTCGCAGTGGGTCATATGGGGCTCCCCATGCAGTTTGCACATTTTGAAGGGGACAGCCCAGAAAATTTGACAAAAAATCTTTAAAATATTTTGTTCCCAGATTTTGATGCAGATTTATGAAGAATCGATTCACAAATCGTTTAAGGTATTCCGTTCAAGAATCGGATGAATATTTCCTAAGATATGGCCTTCGCAGTGGGTCATATGGGGCTCCCCATGCAGTTTGCACATTTTGAAGGGACAGCCCAGAAAATTTGACAAAAAATCTTTAAAATATTTTGTTCCCAGATTTTGATGCAGATTAGTGGAAAAGAAATCGAAGGTGTAACTTTCAGCACGAGGGGCCCTGAAAGTCTTTCGTCGGGGGGCCCAGTGGGCAAGCGCGCCTTTGCCCACCTGTTAAATCCGCCACTGTTCTTAAGCGTAAATATGTGGAAACTATTTATCTAGTAACCTAATAAAGTAAACCCCAACTTTGGCTTCAAATAAAATAGATCTAAACCAAAATAATTACCATTTAAGCAACAAAAAAATATTATGACCATCTCACATACATATATCTTATAGTATATATTTTTTTTTTCTGGACCCTCCTTTCATATACGAGTCTGGTAGATATTTTTTTGCGCTTCACAAGGCCAATTGTCGGCGGTTCATTGGCTCAAAAAAAATGGCTCAACAGCGAGATGGAAGGCTCAATAAACTTGCAATTAATGTTGGCAAATTAAAATGCAAAAATAAACATTAATTGTTTTGTCACACACTCAAATAAAAACCTCAAAAATACAAAAAAAGAACAGAAATTAAGTGTTGCCATGTGAAACTTTATCATCAAAGGAGATAACCAAAAGATCCAGCTGCGGGGATAACATTTTAACCTTAATTTACAACGTCAACGATTCGGAAACGATGACCCAAATGAGTTGCAAAAAGCTACAAAACAAGGAAAAAATAAAATAAGGACAACGGATAAAAAGCTTGATTTAAGAAGGATTTTTAGGAAAGTATTTTTAAGTTCAAAGATGTAGAAAACAAAACATACAATAACTCAATAAATTAATAGCAATTTATAAGCAATTATTGTATTCTTCTCCTAAGATTCATTGCCTACTTATTGGGGGGGAGCAGTAGTAGTTGAAGGGGGGCGTGGCGCTGATAGGCGTAAATCTCGGTGGCGGATTGCTAATGAAACGGCGCCATTAAAACGGCTAACAAATGTGCGGAAAAGAGCTGCGAACACCGCGGATGGGCCATAATTTATGCATTTTAATTAATTGCCTTTGGGGGACCCCTTGGAAGTTTACGATGATTTCGCGGGATCACCTCCACCTCACACCCGCTTCACTGCCACCCCGACCCCCGTCGTTGCCAAGACCCCCGCCGGGGGCTAATCATGTCGTCATTTGCATTTCAATGAATCGCAGGGGTTACGAGATCCCTTCCTTCCTTTTTTTATTTTTAGAGGGCGGGGGAGACGACTTTTGGAGACGACGCTTGAAGCAAACAGACAAAGTCATTTGTGCATTTAAAAGACGATCCATTTATTTTGTGAATCAAAGTTGCCAGGGCGAATAAAATAATGGCAAAAGAAAAAAAAATACAAATAAAATGTGAAAGAGGAAATAAGGCTGATAAGGTCAAAGGAAATACAGTATTTAATCGAAGTAGTTTTTAATGAAAGTTTATAAGCTTTACTGATTTTTTTACTTGCAATAAAATTATTATCAAGATTGTAGTTTTAAGGCTTAATCAATATAAATAAATATGGCAAAGCTTAGGTTATTTAATAGGAAAATATTTACGTTACAATTATAACTTTAAACTTTTTCTTTACATTTATTAAGTTTCGAGTAAACGTAATTGAGTATAAGGGATTTATTCAAAAACCACATTATTTATATTTAATCTATATAATAAACAAAATATATAAAAAGAAATGAATAATGAGCACAATGCAATGATATGGTATGGTATGTACCACACTGCGTATGAGTGATATAGGTTGGTTTTTAAACCCTACAAATTATTTTTCAAAGTAGTAAGCTTGACAATATTTTATCTAAACCAATTACAAAATTATATATGAAAAAAAGCGCAAAGTATTTCCAAAAATGAAAACAAGATCACACTGCGTATGAGTAATATAAATGAAAAGATTTGTCTTTTCAAGTAGAAAAAACTTTTTTTAACTAAAAATTTGGAATAAAATCTTCATAAATAATATCCCCAAGTATCTCTATTCATTTTTTTTCTAGTCCAGACCCCACTGTACTTTTCTGCAACAACAACAACCATAAACAGCAATGCTAACCGCAGAAACATTTCAAAAATGTATGAAAAAGCAAAAACAACAACAAAAATCAACAAAGCAGCGAAGCAGCAAAACAAAACAGAAACCAAAAAAGGAAGCAATGCAATACAAACATACATATGCTTGTACGTATGTTTATGTAAAAAAAAAAAGAAAAAAAATAAATTTTGCGGCAAATGCGCCGGCGCAACGTTGTGCCGGCTACAGGCCCCTCTGGCCGACCTACCCACACTTTCCGCCGCCTGCTTGCAAGTTCAAAAACCTGCAATGCTCCG